TATTTTGTCACACCAAAAAACCACGCTCTCACAACCGCTCTCTGATTAAAAGCTTCTCTACGATGGAGAATACCAAGTGCTGAAGGCCCAGCAGCCAGATCTGAAGCTAAGAGAGTTAAGAGAAGAAAAGGCAGCGCCTCACTGTTCACATCTCGCTTTTAAAGGCTCCAAAAAGAGAGATCCAAGAGGTTGGGCAGGGTGGCTGACAGGGAGAGGCTGCACACAACCTCCAGTACAACGTTCTGCAAAGGACCAGCAGAGCTCCTCACAGCTCATACGTGTGTTATTTCTGTGTTTGCTCTCAACTAAACTGTATTTATTTTAATGCAGAAATCTATCGAGGCAGCACTTAAACACAACCAGATTGCAGCTTCCCAAACCGAAAAAACTCCTTCAGACAAACCTCAAAAACTAATAAAAATCTGGACGGTGCAGCGTCATGCACCGCATTTTTAAGCTCAAATACCAAGCAGGCACAGATAGATTTGATAAAATTAAAACCAAACGCACACAACTTATGCAACGACAGACACCCAGCACGAGCTGAGCGCACAGACAAGGAGCAACCCACCTTTGGGAGCTACAAGTGACCAACACACACATGCACCCTGGGGAGCGAGATCCCCTGGATGTGGCTCAGAAGCATCACCCATAAAATGTATTAAACTTGTACCAAAAAAAGCCTTTGCGTTAAAAGGGCCCCCAGTAATTAGTAATGCCTTAATAATCAGTCATGTTTTAACGGCATCAACCAAAATGAAAAGTTTTTGCAAAGGAAAAGTGAAGAATGATGGTATTTTTATACAAGCCAGTTGTCTTAGCACTATCAGCAAAATAGAAAAAAACTGCTTTACGTGTTAAAAGCTGAAAAATCCCAGGTGGGGAAAGCCAGGGTGGACTCTGAATTCCTCGAAGACCGGACAGCCTCTCTTTATTATTTCCATCGGGTATCTCCACCCAAAAACTCATGGGGAAAAGTACAGAAGCAAAGCACACACCTCAACAGGAGCTCCCTCTTAAAAACACCCCTCAAACAAATGAAACGAGGAATGCTGTGCTTCAGAATACCCACCCCAGCCTTAAATGTGCCCCCCAAAATATAGGCGTGCATTTACAGATGAAACTTGGCTGCTTTTGGAGGCTAGGATTTTTAAAGTGGAAGAAAAAGGCACAAGGACAGAGGCAGTGCCATGCAGGGCCTGGTAACCAAAATGGGAAGGATCCCACAGAGCATGACGTGACCGGTCACTTTTTCTAAGTGTGCTCTACGAATGAGGCATTAAAACTGCTCCATTTTGGGAAATCTTGTACGAAAACCAGCATGCAAGTTGGGCCACCTGAAGATTCACTGTAGAGCTGGCTTCATGTTTTCTGTGGCTACTCTGCCACTTTAGAAATATATGCGATATGAGAGACTAAAAACACACAGCGATTTGCCCAGCACTAAGATTTCACATGGCCACATACAGATATTTTGCCGTTTACACATCCCTGTTATCCCACAGCTGAATGTGCCATTATAAGACAGCACACTTTGTTAAAAGAAAGTGCAAAGGTGCAGGGCATGTTGGTGATGTGCGTTAGTTCTGACACAGCTGCAGGTCTGTGAATGAAAAGGCAAATGGAGCGGCCACGGGAGGAGCTGAAATGCCAACAAATTCACACACTTATGCATCAAGTACTGCATTATAGCAGCTCTAGCAATATTGCAAACTCTCTCCTCTTTCAGGCAAACAAAGCAGCATCAGGAAACACACATTCATCACTGCCGAGTGCACCCAGCGCAGTCAATGAACTCACTTCCAGCAATCCTTACAATGGCACCAAACCATGCACTGCTCCCAACGCTATTTCAGCGTGTGAAACACCCCTCCGACACACTCAGCCTCAGCAAACAAACCTCATCCCCCAGAAAAACCTCTCCGAATTTAGCAGTGCTGACAACAAAAGCACGCACTGGGAAAAGAAAGAAAACAAAGGCTCCCAGCGCCTCAGCAGGACCAAATTTGTCCTTTGTGAATACGTCTGGTAGTAACTTACACACGTCACCCACTGCTGCACCAAGAGCTGTGCCCTCCCGGCTCCCACGAATGCTAGGTTGGGTGTTATGATGGAATATGAACACCAACTGAAGGATGAAGCACAAAGCAGTGCTGCGCCCAGCACAGCACGACGGCCGCGCAGCTCTCGGACTGCGCTCTGATTTTTGCCATCAGCGCCTGCACGGTTCTGAGTTACACGTGGATGTCCTCACCTGGCACATGTGGCACGGGACCTCCCAAACATCAATTAAGAACGAAAACCAAGAGCCCAGCAGAACTCAGTGAATGGGTTTCTGGAGAACAGCAATCAACACCGCGCTGAAGGGAAATCGCTGTGCTTCAGTGAAACCAAGCAAAGCAAAAAGCTGCTGAACTAGAGCTGGTTTTCACGTGAATTGGATCGAGCTGCTCTTTGTCAGCTAGAGCCACGCTACTGGAAGTCACCAGGAGCTCTCCAGGCTGAGCACTGTGATGTTTCTCTGCCGGCTGTAGCTGCATGGCAGAGCACAGTGTGATGTTATAGATAGGGGAAGGAGCGATCGGCCGTCACCAAAGAGGTGCTGGTACAAGAAACTATGAGTCAGAGACAATTCCTGACTAAAGCTTGTTACTAAATAAGACAAGTGCATGTGAACTGCAGTCTGAAATACCATTATCTGTCCTCATCTACCTTTAAATCTCACAGCTCGCACAGACTGCCAGGTAATTAGCTAATTATTTCACTACCGGCATCAGCATGAAAAAAGAGATGAATCATAAGGAATGCGAACAGCCACGAAAACAACTCGAACAAGTTGTCTCCCCCAGCAATCCGGGCATCACTCGCATGTGCTTCTGGTGCTGCCGAGTTTTAAGGAGCTCCTCAATCACAAAGAGCCCTCTGAGAGCCACAGTGGAATCGGAGCCCTCGTCCCCCCGCCCCCAGCACGCAGCAGAGGAGAGCAGCACGAAGGCAGCACAGAGCCCAGCGCTGCAGTCAGCCCCGTGCATCGCCGTGTCCTCCTCCCCCTATCCCTGCACCCAAGGAGAACCAACGAGATCACAGGTTTCACCATCAGATTCAAGCAAAAACCATTTTCTCTCCCGCTACATCATGTGTCAGCACAAGGAATTGTATGCCAGAGAACCATAGTCACAGAAAATTCTCTACCGGTGTCCCCGAGTTTTGCCATTTGAACCCTTCCAGCGACAGAAGGGTGAAACCAAACAGTGCCTCTGTCCGCTGCTGTAAAACCAGCCGGCTGTTTTGTGCCTCTGAAATACCTAAACCCATCCTTATATAGGACCCACGATGGAATGGTTTCCTTCTGAGTGATGAGCTGCTCCAACAGCAGCGCTGTGCTTATCGCGACCAGGGACGTATTGCTCAAGATGTTACTAAGAATAGCGGTGATCCAAGTGCACGTAGGAGTGCTGTGAAAGAAGGCACCGCTCCACGCCACGCACACACAAACAAAACACACCGAGTTCTAAGCCAAACTGCACTTTTAATAAACGTGCAGACCGTGCGCGGTTGTTTTTTTTTTCTTTTTTTAAATCTATGGAATTAGGGTTTAGGGAATAAATTCTCCTTTTGCGATCTGTTCTGAAGCACAAGGCGGTGCGTTCACGGCTGTGCATGCGTGTGCAAGGGGATGTGTGACGGAGGGAGGGCGAGCGTGTCTGTGTGCAGAGTCTGCCAAGGTGGAACTGACAGGAGCTGTGATTTGTGCTAACTAGCTATTGATCCAGTCAGATCGAGATGTTGTGTACAAGAAACAATAAAAGAGAAGGGGCCAGGAAGGATGCTGTGTGCAACTCCATTTAAAAATGGAAAAGAAAGGCCCCAAACAAACCAATTTATGTCCTTGCCTGGGTGAAGCACGGAGAATGCTGATGGGCTTCCTACAGTCTGCTGTGCATGCTAAACACTCCCGCTTCAAATGAGAGTCTCCTGAGCTGGGCATTAACCATGAACAAAGAGACAAACAGTGGGGGCGAGGATTCACGCTTCAGAAAGCCGAAGCTGGAGCACCGACCAGAACTGGGAGTGGGGAACTGACGATGCCCCAAGCACCTGAGCTCCATCTCATTTCCCAACGCCTTCCTTAGTGAGATTGCCGAGCACAAAACGCAGCAAAAAGTCGGTCTGTAAGACCTAGCCTAACAAAAACAATTCCAAACTATGCCGTTGTGCCAAAACTGCAACTTCCCTGGGCTGAAATAATGCATTTCTAGCGTGGAAGTCATGCACGTGCACTTGTGGCACGTCACACAACCACCCGTGTGCCCTCAGACACGTGTGCCCATTGTAACGTCCCCATGGTGGGCAGGGAGCTCTAAAATACAGCCGTGAGACGACAGAACAGAAATCGACTGAATCCATAATCGCCTTTATCTTAAACAGCCTTTATCATAGGGAGTTCTCATTAGAATATTTTTTTCTGAGCTCGGAGAATTACGATGCCCTATGGGCACGGGGAAGGATCAAAAATGACAATGAATGCCAAAATGAAACATCTGCCAGCTAAGCAAGTTTTACACCAGTGGACCCAGAACCTAAACTTAAATTTCCTTCTCACTAAAAAAATAAAAACCAAGAGCACCACCCTGCTACCCGGCTCCTGGCACATGCAGGAAAGTACCTGAAACTGCACGGGGATCACTAACAAATACATGTTCCCACGGCTTGGACAGATCTCTCTAAAAGTTCGGAGGAAGCGGATGCAAAGCACAGCAGGTGGAGCCCCCCAAAGCCCCCCCCAGCACCTGGCTGAGCCCCCACACCTCAGTGCTCTGCAGGTGGCCACTAAGCTCAGAACCACGACCCTGGGCCCCGCCGGGCTGTGGGCGCTTTGTCCCCAGCACTGCTGCCCCACCGAGCTGTGAGGCAGGGTGAGGTTGGTGCATGCCTGGTAACCTCAACGGCAGCCCACAGTCCCCCCCCGTGGGCCAGGATGCGCGCGGGACAGCGGATACCTTCTTTGCTGGGATTCTGGGGCTTGGGCTTCTCCCACGGCGCCATGGGCTTGTCTTCCTCCTGCCCCTCCATCAGGGCCTTCTCACCGGGCAGGTACCAGGTGGAGTTGTGCTCCGCCATCAGGGAGTCCAGGTCGATGGTGCTCATAGCGTTCTTGACACCCTCCGAACAACACCCGCCCAGGTCACTGTCCCCATTCTGCCCCGCACACTCCCCCTTTTTGCTCTTCAACCCCAAGGGTTGGTCTTCCGAGATGCTGAACTGCTGCCGCTGGAGCTGGATCTGCGCCTGCAGGATCTCCAGAGGGTGGATCTCGTCCTGGGCCGAGGTGCTGGTGGGGGTCCGCACCTGCTCCATGCCCGGCGTGCCGGGGTGCGCACCCGCCGTGCTGCTGAGCCCGTAGCTGTCGGGGGTCGAGGTAGATGTATTGAGGAGGCCGAGGGCCAGGGGCTTCTGTCCGTTGAGCAGCGCGTGCTCCCCGCGGGGCAGCTTGGGCGAGCCTCCCAGCAGCGGGCTGCGCGTGGGTTTGGGGCCGGCATTGTCGGAGCTGGAGGACACCTCGTCTTCGTTACCGTAGCTGGTGCTGACCTCGTCGGCGAAGTCCACGTGCGGGGAGCCACCGTCCGACTTGGTCACGCTCTGGATGCCGCTGTCCAGCGAGGACATGAGGTCGGGCTGCTCCCCCAGCAGCAGCTCGCCGCCCTTGCCCCAGGAGGGCGAGGTCAGCGGCTTATCGTGGGGCGTGCCCCCGCCGCGCTCCGCGCCCGCGGCCCCCGGCGGCCCCCCCGCGGCCGGAGGCGCCGGTTGCCCCGGGCTGACGCCCGCCCCGCCGCCCTCCGCGGCCGAGAACTTCTCGAAGAAGGTGCCGGGGCTGACGTGCCCGCTGTCCCGTTTCCGGCGGCCCCGCCCCCGCCCGCCGCCCGCCTTCCCCTCGCCGCCGGCCGCCGGCTCCAGCGCGAAGCCGGGCGAGAGGCTGCTCTCGGCGGGCAGCAGCGGGGCGGCCTTGCCCGCGCCCCCGCCCGCCGTCGGCCCCGCCGGGAAGTAGTCCGGGGCGGCGGGCGGCGGCGGGTCGGGCTCGGCCTGGCTCAGCTTGCGCTTGGCCTCGGCCGGGCTCTTCTTGTTGAAGGTGACGTTGAGGTTGGGGGCGCCCAGACTGGCGATCATGTTCTGGCAGGCGGTGGAGAGGGCGGCCAGGCAGCTCTGGCCGAACACGTTGTCCTTGCCGGCCGGCTTGCTGAAGGAGCCCAGCGACAGCGCGCCCAGCTTGCTGGCCGCGGGCCGCGGTGGCGGCGGCGGCGGGGGGAACTCGGGCGGGGGCGGCGGGTAGGCGCCGGGCGAGGCGCTGAGGGCGGGCGCGCTGCCGTGCGTCGGGGGCTGTCGCGCCGCCGCCCCGAAGGGGAAGCCGGGCTGGGCCGCGAAGTCGGCGGGGCCGCGACGCTCGGCCGGAGCGCTGGGAAGGGCCACGCCGCCGCCGGGGGACTGCAGCTGCGAGAGGCCGCCCACGGCGGGCGCGAAGGGCGGGTGGACACCGGGCGAGGGCAGGGCCTGCGCCGGGCCTTCGCCCGCCATCCGCAGCG